ATTCAGTTCTATATATAACTAACGACTTACTTTCGCTTTGGTGCGACCTTCGATACGTTTTAATTTTTTTGAGTGGAACCCTAATTGTTTTTCTAAAATAAAAGTAACCTAAATTACTCCTTATAACATCAGCTATCTGCCATCTATAATTTTGTTTAGGTCAAATCTTGCAACTGAATTTTAAAACAGTCAAACAAAATTAATACCAATACCAAAAAATAGCGGATTATATTCTTTTTTGCACCCCCATGATATGGATATCAAATGAAATGGTTTCCTGAGAAGGATACTAATAAATACCTAAAAAAAAATTAAATTAAATCAAACCAATTTATTACATTACACAGTTTATATGATATAAAAGCCTTTAAAATTGTTTTTTTTATTATTAGTTTATGTTTACGTTTTTATAACAGACAAATTATGAATATTTCAGAATTTGTCATAAAAAAATAATAAAAATGTATCATTATATTTTCGAATAATTGTAATTTTTAAAAAACGGTGTTAAAACTAAACTTTATCATTTCGACCTCTTATTTTCATATTGATTATATTTGACTGAATATATAATTTTCTTCGTAATTTCCAAAATTATTGTTATTGAATCTTACAGAGGTCGTTTAGATGAGATACTTATGTGGCTTTTAGGCCACGAAAATAACCGCACTCCAAACCCATTAAGGATTTTAGGGTTCGTTGCCACCACTTTACAATGCGGATTAAGGAAACTGTTAGTACTTGTATAAAAATAGTTCTTATTATAACTTTTGGTACTCCAAAGGGTTAATTTTAACTAGTAGTTATATTACAAACACGAGGTTAAATTATTAATTCATTAGTTAATTAAACTGGTTTTGATAACACTTTTTAGATATATACATATATTATGTACATATATAGCATCATCGTCAGAGAGGTTAGTGTGAAGAGTTTCTTAATTGTTGCCCTCCATATACGGTCATCGAGTAATCCTCAAACCTTTGATCTGACCGTCCTTAAGTACATTATACTCGTCCTTTAAAAGTCCTCCAAACTCTTCTCGTGACTCGTATTCCCTATACTTCTAACGTTTATTTCAATATTAACCTATATTCGTTATGCCCCGTGATTGTATTGAAGGCTAAATATGGTTATACGACGGTGGTCACTAATTTGAATCCTGCGCAAGCTAATATTAATTTTGCTCTCAACTCAGTTCAACTCAAACCTACTTATTTTGAAAAAATGACAAATATAATAGCATTTTCTCGTTTTACTTAAAACTGCCTTTTTGGATTTTTTCGCAGATTTATTTTGACTATTGGTTCCTGACGTTTCCAATACTTTTTTTCGAGTTTATTAATATCAAAAATATTTCATATAGGTTTTTAAACTTAATAAGGCTCTCTAAACGATCGCTTATACAGCAATATCAAGTGCTTTTGCAAAGCGGTATAAATACAAACTTTAATAAAAGTAAACTAATGCAAGTTTCTTAAAGTTTTGTGTTAAAAAAGAAATTTTATTTATTCTATTTCATGCACAAATACTGTTTATATTACATTCTTTTAGCCTTTCTCTCGTAATTAAATAGGTTAATATATATTTATATTTTAGAAATAACAGCTTTTGTATATTCCATATACCTACCTCTAAAACTCAATAACATAATTATAAAATGTCTTACAAAATATTCTAATACTAGCGACTTACTCCCGCTTCGCTTGGATACGTTTTATTATAGACAAAATTATGGTATCGTGGATTTTTCTATAGGTATATTTAAGAGATACCTACAATTTTCTAGTATGTTTTTATGTATCTCTAAAAATTTAGCCAGCATTAGCCGTGTAATCGTACGAACACACTTTTTTAACACAACACCGTCTAGGCTCAGTTATTTTGTACAATATTACAAATAATAAACACAAACCTTCCTTATTTATCGCCCTTTCTACTAGTGAAAACTGTATGAAAATTCGTTGCTTAGTTTAGAAGAAGTAAGCGGAGAAACAGACAGTCGTAGCCAGCGACTTTGTTTTATACTATGTATATTTTTTTTATTTGTTTAAATGCATTGATCTCTGGTAGTTACCACTCAAATTATAATATTTTTTTTGTATTAAAATGAAATGAAATAGGCTGTTTCTTGAGAAAGGTTATTCGTTATCAAACATCACACTATGATCGTTAAGAGTGGAGCTTTTATACATATGTATGTACATAAATAAGCTACTCGAGCATAGACGCGAGTAAAATCTCGTTTTTTTATATAAGAAATATATAGATTCTAACTCTTCTTTAGAATATAACTAACTTCTGCGTTACTTTATTTACGGTCCCATGTAAAATCTCGTGCATTTAATCCTCAAACAGTAAACTTTGATTTATGTTCGCATAGAAAAATACATCATGCAGAATTTACAAAATGGGAATACGAAAATTCCTTTTACTGAACATATTCTGTTAATTAAATTCAATATTTCTGGTAAATTCCATTCAAAACGTGTACTAATATGTTCTAAATTATTTACTAGGAAATAGGGAATATGGGTGATTTTTTTTTATAAAATAAAAGATCATACATTATCAGGTCCATCTATATAGGTATATTAGGAATGTATAGTTGGACCTGATAGGTGGCGCTGTAGTCTAGATTCAGATTTAGAGGTCCGCCTACCTCTAGTTGTACAAAAATAAATACAAAATAGCCATTTTAGTGTTTTCTAACATAATAAGACTGTATAATAGAGTTTAAATTTAATTTTATTTATGCATATATCCTATAACAAGTAGTATAGCACTTAGTTGTAACTTGTAGCCTAACTGCCGTATTTAGTATGCTAACTGCCTTATTAACTCAATTATTATATTAAGTAAATCGTCTATCTAATTAATTAGGATTACAACGTATCAATTTACACGTCAGTGTGCTTAGTGAGAGTGATGGCTTAGTACTCTTACTAAATCACCTCAGACTAATGCCCGATTTCACCAACGTGACCTAAGTTTAAGGGATCCCCTGAGCATGTTAGGGGGCTGTTAGGGGACAGTTTCTGTTTCACCGACAGTTAGGGGTCACCTAAATATTAAAAGGTCCCCTAAATTTAGGTGCTCGAAATATGGGCTTAAAGATAATCGTAAAACGAAATTTAATTTAGTGGCTAGTTTAGGGGACCTTTAAGCTAGGGATCCCATACGTAGGTGGTAGCTTATGGGTTGTTGATGAAATCGGGCATAAGTCACCTTCGTGTATAAAGCTTTCAGCAGCGCTAGTTCAATTCCATCGAACATAGTGTTACACGGAAGTTTTAATACAGACCTAACTAAAAAAACAGCCAGATAAACAGCCAAATAATATTTTCTTAATCTTTTTTATATATATATATTGTATTTTTTATGTTTTGTGCATAATTATTTTCATGTTACTTATTCACATGTAAAATGTACATGGAGCAAGTCTTTTTAAGATAAAAAAATATTATAAATTCTTCAAAAATATATTTTTCAAAATATTTTCTTTAAAATATCTTCAGTATTTTGTTTTTCAAAAATATTTAATATACTATATATAAAGGATCACTTGTTGGATATTTTAATTTTACACTTTTTCCTTATGCTTACATATGGGAAAACTATAGAATTAAAAAAATATTTTTTCTAGTTCTCTATAAATATGTAATATGTATTTTTAGTTATATAATAGTCGGTTCAGTTGCAGAATATCTTTGCAAGCATATGTAGAACTTTTAACCAAAGTTTCATCACATTCGGATGAATGTTTTAGAAAGGTATAGAGGACAAACAGACAAAGAAACATTCATTTTTATAGATAGATAAGTGTCGTTATTATCATTAAGGACATAGGGCGCTACGTAATTGGACTTAATTCACTCCTTCATGAAATTAATAAGGCCAATTTAATTAATTGAGAAAAAGGTCTATTTATTAACTAGCCTTATACTCCATTTGTGCTTGTGTAGTTTTTTTTTTAATATTATGATATTATTAAAAAAATGTGATGCAGTTGTAAAAGGCTGTTTTTAAAAGCTAAAGAATTACTATTGTACCTACCTATTTGTGGGAGGTATTGTTTATTAGATAGGTGCTGTCTGTAACAACTATCTAATGCCATTTGAGATATCTAAAACCTTAGTCTCTCCCGTGACCATGGATGCTGTAAAGCATTCGAACCGTCGGTAATCAAAAATCAAAATAAATCCGCGAAAAAATCCGAAAAGGTAGAAGAGAGACAATCCAAACTAAAAAATAAATAAGAATTAAGTGGTTTGTTCTGAGCTTTGATAAATTATTCAGTAAATAGTAAGTACATAAGATTTTATATATATTAAGAAATCTAAACAATTTTACTAACATAGTTATTTCGTATTCTGTACATATTTAGTTATTCTAATAACATGTATAACGAAAGCACTACATCTAATTTATCAACAATAATGTATGTTAAAAAAGCGTTGTTAGTCGAGTTTTGATTCATAGAATTATCATATTATGGTAATATCACGCTATAATTAATTAGCGTTTGAAATACGCCCTCGGGGCTTTATTATAGTTTGAAATATTACTTGTATTTTTTTTAAACGAGCGTAGCGATGTACGACATTGTTACGTTTACTTTAAGATTTTAATGTAGAAAATTTATATGTATGAAGTTGAAAATTTTGTTATAAATAGAAAATTTAGTAATAAATGCAAATTTGATTAGACCATTTTATTTTTATAATGTAGTTCGCATTATTTCTCTTTCTAAAGATCTGCCTTTATTTCTTGCAAATTGATTCTTTTCCTTTATGTAATGGAGTAAAACAAAACATTTTCAATATTAAAATTCCTGTATCTCAAATTAAAATCGTAACAAACGCACAACGTAACCCCGTGCTACGAAACTAAACCAAAACAGGCGTCGCGGGGGGGCGTCGCGACGGCAGCCGGCAGTCGGCCGGCGGACGCCGCGCGCGACGTACGCCCTACGCCATGTGACCCTGCCGGCGTCCGCTATGACCGAGGGGGCGGGCAGGCCAAGGCCCGCGCCGCCCCGGAAACCTGACTCCTTAACCCTCGCATGGCCCCCCTGGGAAGACCCTCCGCCACCGGCCCCGGAACTGATCAAACCTATGTCCTTAAACTCTACCGACTTCGGCGGGTTTTCTCCGTACACGCCACCTGCTCCCATCCAGCCTGACAGGCGTCCGAGAAGACCCCAGAGCGTTGTGTCCCCACGACAGATCCCGCCAGTCCCAAGGAGACCCCATTCGATCGGTTCCGTGGACGATGAGTGGTCGGTGCCCATACTGCAGCCGGTGCCGAGGCGGCCGGTGCCCAATCTCACGTTACCGCGCGCGAATTATAATCTACCGTCCTCGAGAAGTGATTATCAGTTACAAAGGCCAGCTATTATGACGAACGGTTATGGCGCTGTGCCGCCAAATACGTCGCGTAGACTGTCTTTGCCTGGAGTGCAAAATGCGCCTAAGTTATCTGCAACGTTCCATGGGCTCTCTGGGCTCATGGGGCCCACGCCCTCGCTGGGCACCCCTGGCACACCCAGCACACCAGCAGCTGTGAGGGAGGCTGTACGCCATCTGCTGCAGCAGCCAAGAAACGGCTTCCCCATCATGGACCATAAACTCTCCCTCTTCATCGACATACTAGATGCCCAGGAGAAGTTTTCGCAGGTGTGTTATAAGGTATTTCAAGTAAACGTTATATATTAAACCAGTTTTATTTACATCTACTTTAATATAACATGCACAGGTCGTTAGCAGTCTATTTAAAAAGGTCTAAATCCAATTTAAGTCCGGCTCAAAAACGATGTTTACATACACGAGTAGCGCAAGTTTGTTTGCTAAGTGTTGTGGGACTGTTGGAATGGAATAGTATCTCGAAAATGAAAACTACATGTTTGCGAACAAATATCGAAATCTTCTTTGAGCGTTATTTCACTCAGATAGAGCTCGTGTCTTATATATCATTATAAGTTATTATAGTTTAATGTTATTGTTTAAAACTTTCTCATGTAAAATGTAATAATTTAGTCGAGAAACGTCGACTGTAGAGTTCAGACAAAATTTCAGCAGTGTGATGCTTCTTAGTCTTCTTTCAAAAGTTTCGTTCGTCTTAAGTTCGTCGTAATAAGCAAAGTTTGTTATTTAGTATTAAATATATTATAATAGAAATAACTTAACAGAATCAAGAATATTATAATTAAATACAGGAAGCTAGAAATGGAGCTTATTTAAATAAAATATGTTAGAAAAAGTAATTTTCCCATAAACATAACCCATATACTGTTTGAGTTAAGCGAAACAGTGTCAGTCGGTTAAGTATGCGACCCCAGTGAACTCGCTGTAGGCAACTCGCAAAATACTGGCATAGTGTAGCTTTTTTTTTCAACAAAACGCCGCACGTTCCATTCAAAGACTGCGGTGGAAATATGAGTGAAAGATCGGTTTTTATACAGATTGCATGAAATTTAAATAGAAAATAAACTACCTAGTTAAATACCTGAGTCAAATATGTTCGCTTATATTGCGTTGTAGGTTAATAATAACTCGATATTTTGTGCTTTATATACTTTAAACTTTATGTGTACAATATTTTTCTATGGAGAAGAGTTCTAAAACAGTAATTTAAGACTGTTGTGATTTTTTCAAACTTGTTTCACAATAATGTATGATCACAATTTATATGAATATAAAATATTAAAAAAAGTATATAGACTACAAAATTACTTCAAAGCAATTATTTCTTTAGGGTGGGAGCTTTTCTTGAAGTATATCATCTTTCAAGTGTATAAACGAAAGGTAATAATTGTAGGTCAAAGTCAGGCTTGAGCTACATTTCAATAATTACAATAGATGCAAAGTTTGAGCTAGCTATTCTATCCTTATAACTCATGTGTGTAAAAGTTAGTAAAGTAAAGAAAAAAGATACGCAGGCAGTGTCGTAGATTCTATCTATCTATATATAATATATAGATATCGATCTAGTATAAAAAAACACATTCATAGGGTATATATTTATATATATTATGATTAAGAATCTTAGAAAATAACAAAAACAATTAAAAAAAGATTTTCTTGATATTTAAACTTTACAATAACATATTAGTACAGAAACACAGTACAAAATACAGTACAAATAAAACGTTAATACTTTGCAGACGAGAAATTCGCATAATATTATTGATATGAACAGCACTTCTGTTCCATTTCCTTTCAATGTTTAATTTTTCAGTATTACTTACATTCGAGTAACTTTAATACACAAAAATATTTTTCTGTAATAATAAATGAGGCAGTGGTAGCCTAGTGATAACGCGCTCGCTTTGGAAACCGAGTGAAACGGGTTCGAATCCCGGATCTTGCATTTCTGATATTTTCATGTGCAAATCATTTCCAACAGGATTACCACTTGTCTTACGGTGAAGAAAAGCTTCCCTATTCGAGAAATCTCCACTAATTTAACTAATTTACTTGTAATTACTGTAATACTAGTCGTTTAACGTTGTTTCACGCGCATTTTCTAGAGAATTCTATAATAAATTCTACTATCTTTTTACCGCGATAGCACAATTTAAAAACCTGTATCTATTATCTAGATTTCTATACCTATCAATAGTAATAGTTATAAAGTTAAAACATATATAGCTTAGATATGAAAAAATATAAATATAAATAAAATCGAGAAAACATCATTAATTTAACTATTTTTTTAATGTATGTACATGTAGTGTAGTGATAATAATTAAAATAGTGGTTTTCTTAAAATATTTCATTCGGTTCGTTCTAGATGCGTTAGTTTAATCCCTGTATTTTTTTATCCAGTCAAGTCAGTTAATCAGTCGAGCAGTAGTCAATATTTAGAAAACTAGATATTTAGCTAAATTAAAATAATTCTATAATGAATTAAAATAATGCCCATGACATTGGTAAAGCCATTTTCTTCATTATTAATAGTTTTCACGCATCCATACTTATATGTATGTAACATAAGATTCCTTATGTACAGTACCTATACCTATGTATGTACATAAACTAAAGGGTATCCTTAAATTAAATGATAGACAGAGTATCTCATTGTGACACAACTTGACAAGATTTATTAATATATGAAGTTATATAATTGAAAATTAGTTATCGTTTTGACACTAGAATATCTAACACGGTGACCAGAGTTAATTTTTAAGTTTAATATTGCGGCTAAGCGCCTACACAGATAAAAAAGCAAACAATGCGCTTCGACAGTGAGTGACAAAATCAATGGCTAACACAGGCGTTAATATAGGGAGTAAAGTAAGATTGTAACATTAAATAAATAAATATGTTAGGACATTAACACACAGCACCATCTAGTTCCATGGTAAGCTACGAGGCTTGTGTTATAGATACCACATAGTTGATACATTACACTTAAATAACTTTAAATACATACATATTATAAATATAAACACCCATGATAAGAGTACAAATATTTGTGATCATTACACAAATGAATGCCCCCAGCGGGACTCGAACCAGCAACCGCTGGCACAGCAAGTAGGGCCACCATAAACTGAGCCAAACGTGTCGTCATAAACATTATAGCTAAATTGTTATGACTACATTTAGAAATGAAAATGACAGTATACCAAAGCCTTATTTATATTTGAAATCCATTCAATTACAACATAGTATTTAATTAACGTCAACAGTTAACACTTGTCAAAGTGAACAAGTCTCCATGGTAATTATAATTGTAAAATTCTAAATTATACTGTATTATTATGAAAAGTGATATTAGTATGATGGACGTTCAAATAGCTTTAAACAAAAAAAAAAAACAAATATTACATATAACACGTTTTTGCTCTTTTCCTATACTTGCATCACCCATGGGATCTACATCCGGGATAAATATATGTATGTATTTGTCTCTATTACATAAACTTACTCTAACTAAAGAATCGCGGTGATGTTTTGTGTAAGAAGGGCAAATTTAAGAAAGAAATCAGTAAGTATAACATAAACATGACATACATTTTGAAAGTTTCATTATATTTTTAAAACTTAAATTTTTTAATATAAATATCAATTATTTATAGGATTTAATTAAAATTATAGCATTATCTTAAGTTGCGACTTCGATTTCTATACGAAGTTAATTTTATTGGTTACTAGCAACTTATTTTCATTTACCTCGGGTGCGTCCCTAGGCTCGAATGACTTAGGAATACATAGAAGACAAACTTCTAAAGAAAAGTTTCTTTTTTTGGGCTAGTAACATTCCCAGGCTTATACAGAATAATCCACCAGAGTTTCATCACAATCGGACCAATGGTTCAGGAACGCATAGAGGACAAACATACGAACGAACATTCATTTTTATTTATACAATAATAAATTAATAAGAATAAGCCAGAGAAAGAATGTATACAACTTTTTAGGTTTTTTTCATTCTTTCAATTACAATTCTACGACACCTCTACACCGTTGTGATTATATCATGCATAATTGTATACGTTCATATATTTAGCTCAAAGTTAGGTTCTACTTGTGAAGTAAATCGCTGTAAAATATTATAAATTCTGCGGAACTGTGAAACTCCGCATACTTTCTAACTCGGGATTCGAACACGGGACTATTTGCATTGTTTGCTGAAGTCACTGGCAATTTCCAACTTTCTGGATAAAGTTTGGCATAATTGTTATTTAATTAAGTCGAATTTCCACTGAGGTAAAACAAATGTAATTGGGTCAAATCAAAAGAATCAAGCGATTTTTTGCAGAAAGTCTGTAAGCTTAAGGATTATTAATATATTTACTGCTTTTATTACCAACCTTGCAAAATTGTAGTAGAGTTTGGACAAACAGTAAGGAATTCAAAATTTCAAGTCAGCCATCATTACATAATATTTATATAAGGATAAATTAGGTTTGTTATTAAATAAAAAATTTAAATAAAATAAAATTGTAAGGCAATTCTATGTTTTTTTATTTATTTTTCCAAATATTTATATAATTTTGAGCTTTTGAGACATCGAAATCCCACGAATTTATTCGGAACTCGAGAACAAAAAACTATAATGAAAACGTGAAAAAAAAAGATTTATTTAAAATTTCATATATTCCCATTAATCTAAGAAAGTATAAGACTGGGTTACCCTTAACAGGAAATTGTCAAGACCCATAAAAAAAATCATGCACAATCGAAACAATTTTGAAAATTAAACACCTACAATTCAATATCTGCACCTCCTTGCCTCTGAATCGTAAAACGAAATTCATCACAGAAAGTATTCCGGCTTCACAATGTTGCGATCCCATTAAAAAATATGATTTCGCTAAAACACACTTACCCAAAGAGGGGGCTTCCCCCCACGGCATTGTACTGGATCTCAGTATCACTTGACCTCATTCTTGTAATACCTTTTGTTTCAATATGAAAAATCTGAAATCTGAGGATCGGGATGAAGGAAGCTCGTACAAAATGCTATATTCCATTCATTTTTGGGCTTTGTTTTAATATTAGTTGTTCTCTTTTATGTGAAGCCGATGTGTTGAGTATATTCTAAGCGGTAATAAAATAGGCTATTTTTGTTATTGCGGAAGAAAATTATAAATTAACACAATAGTGATAAAAGTTGTTGATTTTAATTACATACTCGTACAAAAACACACGTCTTTCTAATACAGAAGTAAAACAAGTTTGTATGTTCCAAACATAATATGTATGGTACACCTCTATATGTATGTGGTATACCTTTGAAACTACAATTTCAGTATTAAAAATTTTATATTTTAT